GGTGTCTATGCAAGTTTAGCCTCAGCTGACTCTATCCTTGGTCTAGAGTATACATCTGTTCACTGACCCCGTCTGATCATCTCAGGTGTTTATGTGTTTATCTGTATAGCTATTTTAAGTTTTTTTTTTTTTTTAAGTTGGTTATGGGACTTTTAAGGGTACATATGTGTTGTCAAAAACTATTCAGCTACACTCCTGGTTCATTATCATGTTATTATACTATTTAAACACTTTTTAGACATGATTCATGATTCTTTATATTTTTGACATAAATTCATAGTTTAGGGTACAAACACAGACACATCCATTAATATACACTCTCCAGTTTTACTTTTTTTGGTTTTGCTCATCACTCTGTTGGTTTGTCAAAATATTATAGTAAGAAAAATTAACTTTTTCTGGTAAGATGCAGCTAGACAATTATAGTTGGTTATTTAAAGTAGCTTAATGGAATCATTATGAATCACAGTTAACTAGATAGTGCCTAATAACAACAGGCTTAATGGACAGGCTTTGTCTTCACTGTGGAAGATGATTGCTTTTATGCAAATATATAATTTTTTCACTAAAGAAACATCCAAATGTTGATTATATTTTGCTTTTTGGTAGAGAATACTTTAATAACTAAGAGAAATTTGACTGCCTTAGTACAAACTATGAGGTGCCGTGGTGGCTCAGTGATTAAGTGCTTGGCTGCTAAGCAAAAGGTTGGTGGTTTGAACTCACCCAGCAATGCTGTGGGAGAAGAGACCTGGTGATTTGCTCCTAAAACAGTTACTGCCTGGAAAACCCTGTGTCACAGGGGGCATTTCTGCTCTGTCACATGGGGTCTTAGTAAGTCAAAGTAGACTCTGTAGCACCTAACAACAACAGTATATATTATATACCCTCTTGCTTCTACTGTAAGCTTTTGTTAGTAGAAAACTGTTCTGTCTTTAAAATGCAGTTTAGGCTATTCTCTTTTTCTAGGCCATCCTCTGGACATTGTGAAATTACTTATTTCCAGTTATTTTATTGTTTCACAAAAGGAATTTATCTGTTTGCTTTAACTGTGCTTTCTATTTCTCTTTAAGGCCATCTCTGGTATCTCAGGCATTGAAACTGACATTTTGTTAAGAAACACCTCACAATAGGCCTTTCTTTTACCAGCTGAGCCTGAATTCATTTAAGAATTCCTCACTCTTGATGTCACAGTCTGGTTCTTTAAGTACCAGATATAGTTTTCCTGTGACTAATTTAAATCCAGCAAACAGAATAGAAGCTATTTGAAGAAGAATATATAGTTTTTTTTTTTTTTTTCTCTTCACATTTTAAATATTTGCTGCATATCTTTGGAGGATAAATATAGTAAAGATTAGAATACCTATGACCACATATCCCTTAATTAAGGGCTTCCTGCATGTTACTTTTTAATGTTCATAAACTCCTCTTTTCTTCTTAAGAATGGTTTCTCTCTTTGTTTATATTATGATTATGAGCTGTGGTTTTTATTAGTGTTATGTTACTGTATTTTTTAAACCAGTTTTATTATCTTATAACTTATATATAATAAAGTTCACAAGTTTGAGGTGTACAGTTGGGTGACTTTTGACAAATGTATAGGAGTCTAAACAATCACCACCATCAAGATTCATACATTTCCTTCACCCAAAAAAGTTCCTTTGTGCCACTGAGATTTAAATCCTCCCCTATCCCTTTTCCTGGACAAATATGCATCTATTTACTCTCAATATAATTTTATCTATCATAGAATTTTATATGAGTTGAATCATACAGGGTGTACTCTTATGTTTGGCTGATTTTGATCTGCATTTTGCTTTGATACTCATCCATGTTGTTTCATTTATCAGAAGTCTCAGTAGTTTCTATTTTTAAATTCTGTGTGGTGTTCTATTGTGTGTTTTTTTTTTTTT